TCCAAACAGATGCCTTGTCCATTGAACATCACTGCCCACTCAAAACTCTCCCTGTATTTACTGCATGGCTTCCCTTTGCAGCTAAGCTAAAGAACATATGTGTTAGTGCACACCAAACCAGAGACCCTACCCTCTCCACAGCCTCTTGCTCAGCTGACCATGCAGTGAACTGATTCAAGGCACCAAACTGGCAGGTAAAGAACTTGTGAAAAACAAAAGTGAGCAGTGGATGGGTTTCTGCTGGTTTAAGTACCTGAATCAATTCACTGTAGTATAAAACAAAGGTCGAAGCTGGCACCAAGGAAGAGGATGGCATGGCTGGGGACAGAAAGAAGAGCCAGATTGCTGTTAGGTCTCTTCTAGCAGTAACAGCTAGGTTTGGCTAGTTACTAATAGGTTGGGCTGGTGTAATTTCAAGATGAAACTGCTTTAAGCATGGTGGCATTACTGTATGAATCTGCTGGCTTATTCCCCTATAGGCCAAATTTTGAGGAAGCACAGCTGCTCTATCCATGATTAGGGGGCTAATTCTATCTATAAATAAAAGTCCAGTCAACCTGTAAGGTGTGAGGATCTCCTCTGCCAGCCAAGAGGAGAAGATAGGGCTTCTGATGCAAACCTTAAACACTACGTTTTACTAAGGACAGAGCCCTGGGGCCAGCTTTGCTGCCCAATGAGAAATGCTCTGCTCCACTCCCGCCCACAGCAGATCAGCCCTGAGACTTTTCCAGTTCCCTCAGCTGCTCCTATGCCATGCTGTTTCCAGCGAGGAAGCTTTTAGAACCCAGCTTCCTCAAGTTTTCTGGGCATCAGATTTAAAAAGCTAATCACAGAATTAATTCGGTTGGAAGAGAACTCTGAGATCACTAAGCCCAACCTAAGTCTGACCACCACCATGTCAACTAGACCATGGCAATAAGTGCCACATCCACTCTTTCCTTAAACGCTTCCAAACAGGGTGACTCCACCACCTCCCCAGGCAGCCCCTTCCAGTGTCTAATCACGCCTTCTGTGAAAAAATTCTTCCAAATGCCCAACCTAAACCTCCCCTGGTGCAGTTTAGGACTATGTACTCTCATCCTGTCACTCACCTGGGAGACCAAACCCCATCTAGCTACAATCTCCTTTCAGGGAGTTGTAGAGGGTGATAAGGTCACTCCTGAGCCTTCTTTTCTCCAGGCTGAACAACTCCACCTGCCTTAGCTGTTCCTCACAGGACTTGTGCTCCAGACCCTTCACCAGCTCCCCTGCCCTTCTCTGGACACGGTCCAGCACCTCAATGTCCTTCCTGTAGTGAGGGACCCAGAACTCGACACAGCACTCGAGGTGCGGTCTCACCACTGCGGAGTACAGGGGGATGAACACTGCCCTGGTCCTTCTGGCCAAACTATTCCTGCTACAGGCCGGGATGCCAATGGCATTCTTGATTACCCGGCCACACGGCCGGCTCGTTTTCAGCGCGCTATAGATCAGCAACCCCAGATCCTTATCTGCCGGTTCTCTTTCCAATTGCTCCGCCCCCAGCAGAGCGCCCGATTTCCCAGGGAGCAGCGGGATTCTCCCAAGCAGGCTGTGGGAAGCCGGGCGGGGACGGCGCTGTGCCGGGCGCCATTTGCAGCTCACAAAGGGCGGCGGGGCTCCCGCAGCGCCCCGGCCGCGGCCCCGCGGGTGCCCCCTGCCGGCGGTGGGGCGAGGAGGGGCGGGGCGGAGCGGGCATGGCCATGGCGGGCACCATGGCGGGGGCAGCGCTGCGGCGCGGCCGGGCCGGCCACCGCCACCGCCTGGCGCGGCCACCGGGGCTCGGCGGCGGCAGGGCGGCGGCGGACTGGAGCCGGAGCCGGGCGGCGGCCGGAGGAGCGGTGCAGTACTGCGCCGAGCTGGTGCGGTGAGTGCCCGCGGCCCGGGGGCTGCCGGCGCGGCGGTGCGCGCTCCGCACGGGAAGGCGCCGAGTCCGTCCCAAGAGGGCTCGACAGCGCTTCCCTCCCGATGGGAAAGCTGGCGAGTTCCCTGAAAGGGTGGCTGGAATTTCCCCAGGCCGCCCGTGGCCTCTCCTGGCCCCGAAAATGGTCCCCGTGGCCGGCGCCTGTGGGCCGGCGGGACCGCGCCGTGTTGGGAGCGTGGAAAGCAGGCGGATGTTTAACCTGCGTGGATGATTTACCCTGCGCACAGGATCACAGAACCGACGGGGTTGGAACGGACCTCTGGAAGTCGTTTGGTCCATCCCCTTGCCAAGGCAGGGTCACCCAGGGCAGGTTACACAGGAACGCATCCAGGTGGCTTTTCAGTGTCTCCAGAGAGACATTCAGATGTCTCCAGGAGACTCCCACATCCTTCCTGGGAAGCCTCCCACGGCAATCCACGCTCGCTCCCGGCCCTCCACTGCTGCATTTTTTCAGAAATAGTGAACATTTCAGTGTCATTGCCTCGGGATTTTGGAGAGAGAGATCACCGAAGTGGATGTTTAAAAATAATGGGTGTTGTCGGATCTTCTTGGCTGTTGGAAAATAGCCAGAGCTTCCCAAGTGCTTCTTAGAAAAATGGGCAAGAGCAGAGGACATTCGATAGGTGGACAGGCAGCTCAGTACCTTCTCTGTCCTGAATGCAGGAGGAAGGCTATGTTCCAGAAGCGTGCATACATTTTTTTGTCAAATCCAAAGTGCTCCAAGAGGAGCAGGAGTACAGTTCAGACACTTCCAGACCAAGCCACATTTCCTGCTGGGCTTCTGGGCTGTAAACAACGTGCAGAGCCTTTTGGCTGTTTTTGTAGTCCACAGAAGTTCCAGTTCTTTTCAAAGTAAAACGTTTAACAAGTCTCTTGGTAAAGACCTAAGTAATTTCTCTTTGAATACTGTTGCCCTAGGTGGTTGACAAAAGCAGGGATAAGGCTTTCAAGTGTGTGTAGAAAGAGTGGAACAGGTGCATCTTTTCCGAACTGATGCTTGTAAAAGACAGAAAGGTGTGTGTGGTCAGCAGTAATGCCTGAGGTAGGAAAACTAATGGAAAGGAATGGGGCAATCTTAAATGTTCACTTGCAGCACAAAACAGCAGATCTGTACAGATGCACCAGAGTGCACAGCCAGGTTGCAGTTTCATTGACAAAGCTTCAGAACACAGCTTTCTTTTCCTAGTTAGTCTACCCATGATTTGTTCACCTGATACTCAAAAGACCAGAGGTTGTGTGTGAAGTTAATATACAAAAAAAAGTAACATATACAAGTAAAATGTTTTCAGTAATAAACAATGGTGAACAGAATAGTTAGGTTCAAAGGCACAGAAGCTGAGATGGTTGAATTAAATTTTTTTTAATATATATTTTTGTTAAATGATAAAAAGACTAGTTAGAAAAATACATGAGCATTCAAAATCGTAAAATGAAAGGTGGTTATGCTTTTGACTTCATTTAATTGAAGCTGCTTTTCCCAGTAGCTTATATATTGCATGGAAATAATAAATTATAAAAAATAAGAGAAAGGAGTTATTATTCAAACAGAAATAAAACACCTGTGGCTGTGCAAGCAACAGCAGTTCCCTAGTCCTGAACTTGAGTCTCCCACACACTAGGAAGAACAATTGAGTTATGCTTTAAGGATATACATTTGTGCAAGTTTGCAGTATGTAAGATGTCCTTTCTCTTGGGCTTTCCTTTTTATGTTAAGCAACTCTTTAAAAAAAGTTGCTTTGAGCTATTTAGTTAAAAATACGTATCCCTAGCAGGTATGTTTTCTGTCTCTTGCTGTTTATGACATATGCTCTGGAAGACAAGCTTGTGGCTTGATGGTATTACGGAGTTTTATAACATGGAGGAAATTCATTATACTGGAAGTCCAGTAATGGTCATAGCCAGCTTTTCTTCTGTCTTTGGGTTCATACATAATATATACTTGTTTGAGAGAAAAGCTATGAAAAACACTCAATACTTCAGGTCATTCTCTTCTTTCTTCATTCCTTACACTAATGCATGAAGGAAGTTGGGGTGGAACATGATCTGTAGCAATATCAGTTTTATTTTACACGCTGCGGCTTAATAGATTTACTGCACTTCATTTTTAAACTTGGAATAATTGAAAAAAACAACTAACTAGAAAACCAACATGTCAACACCATTACTCTAGGGAAGACAAATTTCTCTCTTGTACTGCTGTGTACTTTGTGTAACCTGTTTCTTTCTGAAAGTAGAGGTGTTGTGTGAAGAATTCAGGCAAACTGGAACTGGGAAAATGTGGCTGTAAACCTTGCAGCTCTGCCTAGGGTGGGCAATAGTGGGTATTACTACAGTCAGTCTTGAAAAAAGTACTAGGTTTTGAGCTGATAATACTTTCAGAAACTGTCTTAATTGAGGGAAATTTGATGTATCTGTTGTTTAATACAATTGTGACCTTTAAAGTCTGCTAAAATTCACAAATGTAAATTTTTTTGTTGATGTTTCTGAATTTGCATCAAGCTCTAAAACAATTTTCACAACCGATGTGAAAACTCTAAGCGTTTGTTGTCAGCTGCTGTAGGGTTAAGAACCTCTGTTAAAGCTCACTTCCTTTTTGTTTGATGCTAAAAGTAGCAACCCTAATAACCTTGGTTTTAGTTTGGCTTTGCTATTTTAAGCTCATATTCCAAAGAAATGTGACTACATGGAAGAACAGCAAACTTCATGAAAATGAGCAAATGTGTTTTCCTTGACACCTGCTTCTCCACTTTCCAGGTGAAACTTGGAGTTGTTGGACTTGTTCTAATGAAGAATCAGGTTTTAGGCTTATCAGAAAGCACACAAAAATATTGTTCAAAACAAGCAGTGTAGCTTTTCAGAAGTGGCCAGATGTTTTTATTAGCTGCAGTGATGTCTGATTTTGCAGTTTGTGACTCTGTGCACTGTGTTGTTTTTAATTTCGTGGCACACCCATGTGGCCAAATGGTGGCATGTCACTCCAGGGTGACAGTGGGTTGCCTGCAGCGACACTGCCATCTCCCAGAGTTTTTATGCTTTGAATATAATTGCCAATATAAACAAAAACTTAATGGTTAAGTGAGCCTCTACTGCCAAGCTCCAAAGTACAGTCTTTAAAGAAATGTGGTTTCGTGTTAAGAACAGAAACCTGGAGTTCGGACAATCTGGGTTCTTTTTGCAGTTCTGCCACAGCCTTTCTTCTGCCTTGAGCGAGATATCTTGAGATCTGGATTTCAGAGGTGCGCTGAGAGTTCTGACAACCTCCTCCCTCTCTTGGAGTTTGTCTCATTTTAAGCTTAAAAGCTGCTACTTTTGCAAAGCCACAGTTTTGAACTGTAACTTATTGCTATTCTTTCAGGAGTTCAGTGCTAAGCAATAACACGCCCAATGTACATAGAACTGTAAGTAACAAATACATTTTTTCATCCTTTTACAGAAAGCGTGACTATGAAGGGTTTCTGTGTTCTCTGCTGTTGCCTGCGGAATCTCGAACCTCTGCTTTTGCCTTGAGAGCCTTCAATGTGGAACTGGCTCAGGCAGGTATTAAAATACATTTGTGAACTCTGGAAATGTAAAATAACGATTTTGATATTCTAAATTACACTTGTAGGTGGTGTTTTGCCAAGATTAACTTTTTGTTTTGTGAAGGCAATGAATAACTAGTGCAATACAAACCTCTAGTTTTGAATGGCCCATGGAAAGTAGCCAGCTGCCTCCAATTATTTTGCTAATGTCTATAGATTTTCTGGCCTTCCTCTTTGTTGTGTATTTTAAAATTAAATTATAACAACCAGGCAATGGTCCTTGATACTGGTATGTGATTGCATCTACATCCTGGCTTCACATTCAGTGACCGAATCAGTAAAGTGCAGCTAAATCCTGTCTGTAGAAGGTCTGTCAAAAACTTGGATGATATAACCAGGACCAGGTCTTTGTTGGTAGAAGCAAAGTGATGAAAAGGCTGCCAGGAGGGAAGTTTGCTGTCAGAGTAGTGGGAGAGGAGTGGCTGCAGTCTCTTCCCCTTGCTAGGTGGCCAGAAACTGCCAGTGCAGCCAGGAAGGTTGGCAACGCTTGCCAGAAAGGAGTGATCCAAGAAATGAGCTGACCAGGCAAAACCCCTGACCAGCTCCTGTAGGCTGTGCTTCTGGCAACCCACGGTGTGCCCTCCTTCACTGCTGGCTCCACTGCTTCCTTTCCTTCTGGAAAGAAAGCGAGGGTGAGGGTCACCTGAGACTTAATCCTCGTGGGTTCCAAAGTTCAGGTTGTGGGGAAGATTTCTTTTTTAGTCTATGTAGTGTTCACAAGCTTCATCGGGAATAAATGTCAACTGAGAACTGAGCATTTTCCCTACTGAGTTTGGCTATATCCTGTGTCTCTTTCCAGCGTAGATAGACCAAGTGCCTTAAAGACACTGTGAATTTCACTCCAGATGTATCCTTTCTAGATTAAAGACTCCATAACTCAGAAGACTACTGGTTTGATGCGGATGCAGTTCTGGAGGGAGGCTGTGGAAGACATATACTGTGACAACCCACCACATCAGCCAGTTGCTACAGAACTATGGAGGGTAAAACATGCCTTAATTGTCCTAAAATTCACTTAACTGTAGTATTACTGTGGGAAATAATGTCAGTGTTTTGCATGTGCTGTGTTACATAGTTAACAGCATTATTTTGTATAAAACAGATAATGTACATTGTGTTTGTGTTTCTGTGTGTAAGCTACCTAGATGCTAAGAGCTGAGTTGGAAGAGGAGGATATTTAGGTAGGACCTGCTTGAAAGGTTCTTGAAAGACTTCTGTGAACCATCTGCTCCTTTCTCTTCTGTTTAGGAGAAGGGCTGAGTAAATTGTGGTAAGCCATAAGTTGATAGTGAGGTGCATAAGTGTACTTTCCTAAGCTGGTGCTAGTTACATCTCAAGAGATTCAGCTGTAAAAAAAGACAGAAAGCTGAGCACAGAAGGTGAACGAGCAAATAGGTATGAGAAAAGGCCCAAGACTTTATGCAGTTACTGAATAATAGGGAGAATCTTAATACAGTCTTCTTCACATCAAGAGCTGCATGGTGGCTCCTGTTTATGTATTGCATAGATCTTTTTATGTGCATTGAGTAACAAGAATGTGCTTGTGATCTTAACAGTTTATTTTTACCAAGATGCCCAAGTTCTGCAGGGACTAGAACATCACACATGAAGTATTCCTACAGATCTGTCCCTTTGCTGACCATGGCCAAAGGAGCAGAGGGTTTCTTTCAAATTTTTCTGTTTCTACTTAGGACTGTCATTAATAATATGTTCAGTGGTTGATTGAAGGTCTGAATGCAGTGTCAATGGCAGTGTAAATTCCCTTGATGCTGATGTAAAACCACAATGATTTCATTGGTAAGTTGTCATCTAGTCCAGCTTGCCACTCAGAGATGATCTAACATCAAAGTTAGATCAGGTTATCAGGGTCACACTGAGATGAATTTTGAATTTTTGGGGGAATGGAAATTCCATATGTTGCTAACTTGGCATCTTAGGGCCACAGGCCACAACAAGTCTTTGGAGCAGCAAGTCCAGAAGTGCTCCAAAAGAACAGCTACTCTTACTCTATAAGAGCAGACCTGCATTTAAACTAAAGATCTCTGAGCTCCTGGACAGGAAGAGCTGCAGTTTGTCTAAATCTCAGTAGCAGCATACAGTTGACATAGATCCATAGGTAGCTAGGTTTGTGGACCTGTTGAAAAACAGGCAGTGAAATATGGAGTCTTTGTCCAAATATTCATCTGCGTTGTTCCTGTTAAAATCCTGGGAAAAGCAGGACACTCACTGTAACTCTGGGTTAGAACAATGCAGTTTCTGCAGGATTAGAGCATTTCTCTTGTTGCCATTTTGGTTTCACTCAGCCTCATAAAACGGCCTGGGTTGGAAAGGACCTTGTAGATCATCTAGTTCCAATGCCCCTGCCATGTATAGGGACAACTTCCACTAGACCAGGTTTCTCAAAGTCCCATCCAACCCGGCCTAGAACACTTTCAGGGATGGATGCAACTCTGCTGCACCTCCAAGACCACAAAAATTAGTCCTTTCCAAAGAACTGTGGCCTCTCCCTGACTCTTCCTCCTTCAAATGTGACATAAAGCATAAGTGAGCATTTGTTCCTGTCTATCAACACTCACCATTAAATAAAAATTGAGATTTAAACTAAGATACACTTTGTTTAACTAAGAGAAAACATAGGTAATGCCAGGAAATAAAATAAAGCACCTGTTACAGTCACTTCTATTGAAGACCAGAGCTATTCCTAGGTGTCTGCAGCTCAGATAAAGCATATGCCTTTTAGCTACAGCAAGGTGTTCGTACAGTTAGAATGAAGACTGTCAAATGTTGTGAGCTTTTTTATGGGATTATGGGAGTTGAAGATGTACTTAGGATTATACTTTAATGCAGACATTAAAGTGCAAAATTGCTTGTTTACCATGTCAATCTGTCTGTGCTTTTGCCTTTTGTTTCCTTCTCTCTGTCTCTTTTCCAACATAGGGCAAACTTCCCAGGTACAAGACGGTTTTCTCCCAGAATGCTTTTGTTTCCTTTCTAAGGAGCAACTTTAGTGTAGCCTAACTTATTTTTGCTTCTGAAGATATCCTCTCACTTAGTTGTCTGATTGAGCGAGTCAGGTACAAGGTTGTATATTTTCTTTCAACTGCTTTTATTTTCAGGCTCTTTATATGTGTCAGTGTGGGGTGTGTGCATCAAAGCCCAGCCAGTCTCTGAGCAGAGATGGCCTCTCCCTTTTGCCAGCCTTCCCCCTTGCTTTATTGCTGAGCTTGATGCCAAATGGTCTGGAATATCTCCTTGGTCAGCTGAGGTCAGCTGTCCTGGCTGTGTCCCCTCCTCCCTGTTGGGATGGTGTGAGCAGCAAAAAATGCCTTGACACTGTGTAATCACTGCTCAGCAGTAACTATAACAGCAGTTCTTATCAACACCTTTTCCAGCACAAATCCAGAACATGGCCCCATAAAAGCTACTGTGAAGAAAATTAACTCTATCCCAGCCAAAACCTCTGCAGCATTGAGATATAAATCACTCAGATACTGAGATACCAACTGCAACCCTTTCCAGCAGCTGAGGCCCAGTCATGCTCCTTTCTCACAAAACAGAACATTGATTTTTGAAGTGGAAGAAAGGATTGTCTATCTCCCTAGTAAGATTTCACCTCATGTTTGATTCCTCTAAAGGAAGACCAATGTAATACAATCCAAACAGAACTGGTTGTGAGATAAGATGTTGAAAAATAATTCAGAAAGTATTTCTAGGAACTCTTAAAGCTCTGAGCAGTGCAGAGCACTGGAGTGAACTGACAATTCAACCTGATCTCGTGACCTGTTCAGTCAAAATGTGATTTTATTTCTGTACTTTGGCAAATACCCCAGAAATGACCTATTTGAAGACCATGGCTTTACACATGTCCAGGAATGTCATTGCAATTCTTAGAAAGAAGCATTTGGAAAGACACCTGAACTCACAAGTATTGCAGAGCTGTTAAAAGAATTAGCATGTCTTTGCACAACATATTCAATGTATACTCTTTTTTTGCTGTTGAGTTTACATGAGGACAATTTGGTTTTCCAGAATAAATTCTAATTTGTTATGTTAAAGTGTTCCTGAAGTTTTGTATATCTCCGAATAGTGGCATTTGCATTCCAAAAGTTTTATGCACTAGTAGATAAATAGCCTTTAATAGTATTTCTTGAATTATTAATAGCTCATCTCTTGGTGACTTTAATATAAATTTATGCAGCAGCTGTATGAGGCCTGTTCCTACTTGTCTGTCCATTTTGAACATATGAAGACTGAGGCCTAATTCTCTATTTGTTTCTGGTGAAAGAAACCAGTTTTTAAAGCTTGAGAAATGAGGACCTGTGTGTTTGAATGAAGGTAGCTTAAAATAGATGTAATGTTCAAACTGCATAATTTACCAGAATTCAGTTTGGTGCTTTAAGTCTTGACCTGTGGCTATTTCAAGGATTTAGTTTACAAAATGATACTCGAGGTGAACAAGTGAAAATCAAACCCGACATTTGTAGTTGTAACTTAAAATTTGTCTTTTCACATACCGAGTACTGTCTCAAGCAGAATTTGTTGAATCAACAAGGTTTGGTCTTGTCAAACCTTGAAAAAATATTTACTAATATGATGGATGTAAAGAAGAAGTTGAAAGTGAGCTATTAAACTAAATGGTGAGAAATCTACTCCACAAGTCTTGTTTATAAAAGTTTATATGCGTGATTGTAGTCTTTCTAACAATGTGTTCTGGAAAATTCAATGTGTGTAATTAGGTGGATTGAAGGTAAGTTGATAGAATGAAAGTGGTACAGTAAGGAAGTCAAGTACAAGATAAAAACCAAAAGAATGTATGAATATGAGATGCTGTGGGATACATTTTAAACAAACCCAGAATATTCATTATAACACTTTGTTAGGTTGCTGTCTTTACAATATGTATTGGTGTGTTGTCCTGATGTTTTCTTGAAAATGTATAGGGGAAATATTTTTATTGCTTGACTGTGCAGGAAACTGTGTTCTTTTTGGAAAGTGAACGTAGTTGTCTGCAAATATTTTGTGGGAACATGTGACTCCAAGAATAAATTACTTGCAAAAACATTTTTAAAGAAAAGCTTTTAGTTAGCTGGCTTGTTGTCAGGTATTTCATTTTTGTGTGCAGCAGCCTGCAGTAAATGTCATTTGAAAATTTATGTATTTGAATTTCTCTATTCTTGAATTAAATAGCTAAAACATATTTCAACATGCAGTACTACCATCACTTTGTATACATTAACATGGAGGGTTTATTTGATAATTTTCAGGCTGTCAAGAGACATAAGTTGACTAAAATGTGGTTCATGAAGATCATTGATGAAAGAGTAAGTATTTACCATTCGGGGTCTGATTCTGGTTTTAGTCATATTTGGCTTTTCTTTTCCTTATTTTTATGTGCTAAAGTGTAGAACAAAAGTTTATGTAATTCATCTTTTTCAGACAGCAGTATTTCTCTTTAAAACTGATACTGCTATATTTCTTTTTAATTCTTCCTTGATGCCATTCTTCATAGTTTCTGCTCTTTTCTGACCAGAATGGCTAACACAATCCTTGGTTTATTTTTGCTTTAAAATAGATATAGTTTGTGAGTCCACATAGATATAGGATCTCAAAAATTAAATGACCCGTCTGAGCCTTTCTGCCCCACTTTTCTGCTTCTTATCTTGGCTGTGGAGTTTTTCCTAAGCAGTGTTGTAAACTGGAGCATTTGAATCACACCAAGTTTAAAATATCCACCCTTTTCTGGGAAAAAACAAGAGGAAGAATTTCACTGGTACAGTGATGCAACTCCCAACTCCGACACAAGGGCAAGAATTAAAAGCGGAGGGCAGGAATTTCTTAAACTATTTTTACTGCTAAAGTTAGTGTCTCATGAAGTTATACATTGAGAAAATTGATGGTCAGTTACTTGCAGAGTGTCATTGCTATGAAAGACTTCAGAGTTTCTTGATCTTAAATCTGGTTCTTAGTCCTATGACTGGTATGTTTTCACCACAGAAACCACTAGGATAGGAAGAATGCTAGAGGATGTTATATTTTCGGGTGTATTTTATTAGGTACTGCATTATTCGGGTGTATTTTATTATTTTTGGCTGTATTATTTGTTAGAGGCCCTAAGTTGATCTGGGGGCTGGAACACCTTGCCTGTGCAGACAGGCTGAGAAATTTGGGGCTGTTGGTCCTGTAGAAGAGAAAGTTGGACAGGACTCTCTGCAACCTGCTCTATTAGAAGGTATCCCTGCCCATGGCAGGGTGAGTTGAGAGTTAGATGATCTGTAAGGTTCCTTTCAACCCAAACCATTCTATGATTCTAAGAGTCAATGATTTGCATATGACTTCGAAACTCGTAAGTATTTGATAGATTTGATGCATGTTTTAAACCATACATTCCTATTTATCCAAATTTCTCTGTGCTTCAGTTGCAAAATAAAAATTAAAATTGAAAACCTCATGGTGTAAGAATACCATAGTGATGTTTCGTTCTGGCTGTATCTTTTTTTTATGAAGAATTCTGATTTCATATTACTGCAAAAAGTTATATTTACTCCTGTAAGCAGACATCGCTGCAGTTGCACGTAGTTGGTTATGTTAGACTTGTTATAAGCTTTATTGATTGCTTCTATCTGAATTTATACTTTTCTGTCTCTCAATTTTGTCCTTTTTTTGGTTTTGTTAGTGAATTGGGTTGACATGACTGTAGTAATAAACTTGTGTAAATGGCAGTTATGTTTTAATGAAGTTCTGTGTTTATATTACAGGAGAAGAATTTGGATGATAGGGCATACCGTAACATCCAGGAGCTCGAAACATATGCTGAGAACACTCAGAGTGCTCTGTTGTACCTCACCTTGGAAATGCTGGGTAGGTGTTTTGCCCTTTTTAGGTTTTGTTGTTGACTCATTAGTGCAGGTGCAATATTTACTGGTGTTTCAAAAAGCCCATTCTTTTTCCACTGGAGTTTACTCTCGTAGAAGTTGCCTTAGGTAATACTTCATATATCTTTTGGATGTGGGATCGTACTGCAACTGTCCTAGACCTATGCTTTCCTTGGAAGCTGCTCAGTGCAGAGCTCTTTGAAGTGCACTTTCCTACTGCTCCATTCTTTGTTGCTTTGTTTTGTCTCTTCTTGCTCTTATGTGTGGTAAATTCAACTCATCGCTGAATTTAGATTGTCCTACAGAACACAGGGTGCTGCAGGTATTCTGCAGCTGTTGTTCTGTATTGCAGTGATGTGCACTGATTATCTTGAAACAGCCAACTTCCCAACCTGTGAACTTCCCTTGGTGATGTTTTAAATTTGGGTCTGAATCCTCTTAGAAGTAGGTTGACTATCAATAACTGAATAGCTAGAAAAAATGCAACAAGGATGATCCTTGTGGTCAACAGCTAGTTTCTGTGTCATGTGTAGTATGAGAGTTACAAATTGGGAAAGAATTGTTCATCTGTAGTGAAGAAAGGGGTAATTTTCTTTCAGGTGTCTGTTGCACTATGGAAGTATTCTCTGTTTGAGCTCAGACATTAAAAAAAAGTGGAAAATACTGTTATTTAGTAGTATTTAGTATTGTAGTAGCAATATTTTCTGCTTGTCTGTCAGAGTGGTCTGATGGAAGGCCAATACTGAGGTTAAAAGAGTTAATAAAAATGAAATGGAAATAATTAAAAAGAGAGATGGTGAGCACATTCTTCTTTGGAAGAAATGAGGAACTTACCTCTTAACATCTGATGTTTGCTTCCTCGATAGGAAATCAGTGAAATGTTGCAAATGTCTTTCTGAACCTCTGAAGAAATGTAGGAGTATGAGAAATGTCAAAGTCTTTCATTCTGATAAATGTTTTTGATCCTGAATAAGTTCAGTCATGCTTGGGTCACTCCTGGTACAAGTAGATAAATCTGTTTTTGAAAATGGGTATCGAGGCTCTGGATATTCTTGGTGTCCTGTTGTCATGTTTAACTTCTCTTAAGTATATGAATGCAATAAAGTATCTAAGCAAAGGTCTCGTTCACTGCATATTAAACAGTTAACTTCTGTAAATTTTTAGGAAAATAGGGAAACTAATTGAACCATTTCTTGGTGTTCCCCATCAGCAGTCTTTTCTATACTAGGTGGACCTGGTTTCATTGCAGGTCATGTTTGCTAAATTTCTTGTCCTTTTTAGATTCTTTATTCCTGACCAGTCTCCAGTGAGTGCGTATCTCCTCCAACAGTAGTGCTGTTTTATTCTTACTGATTATTTCTCATTTTGACTGGTAATTGTGTCAGTCAAAGTCCTCATACCTCCTCTCAGCTCCTGTCATTTACAAATATGAATGATTGTGCTGATTAATTGCCTCAGTAATTAGGAATTTGATACTACTAAATAATTCTGTTAAACCTTTTAAGAATGTCACTTTTGGGATATATTCCCAGGTTGAGCATGAGTCACTGCTAACTCTTACTCTGAGCTTTTTTTTCCCCTCAAATTCCTAGTTATATGTAAATCCTGAGCTGCCCAGTCAGTATCAGTAAGTTATGTCCCTTGATTCCTCCAAGACATACTTTGCTTTCTCTGTAGTTAATTTATAGACCCCATTGAAGGCCCACACAGTCTTCTGCTGTGAATCTGGTATGGCTGGTATCATTTTCAGAAGTTAGTTAGGCTCATTGACTGTAATTCCTATATCCTCATTTCTTTCTTTATAGAATACTGCTTCTGCTAGAGCTTTTATGAGTTTTCATTTCAATTTTCCTTTAAATTTGCATTTTATCCTGGATCAGTCCTGTGAAAACATTACAGCTGTATGATCAGTCTAAGGGAGCCTTGTGTGCTCTTGCCATGAAGAGCAGTGGTGCTCTGCCCCACTCATCTCCCTCTTTCAGTTCTCACAGTTGTGTGACTGTGAAGTAACTACTTTTCTGTTGTTTTGGTGATCTGATTCAGTTTTCCTCATTGCCTGAAACAGCACAAGGAAGGGGGCAGACATATGGGTTTGTGGGGTGAAGCGCAGGATCATTCTCTTTGCCTTCACTACACTGATGAATCAGCTGCAGTTAATCATGAAACCACACTGTAAGGATTAATGCTTGTCAGGAATCTCACACTTGAATGACTTTTTTTGGCAGGAAAAACAATTCTTGGGATACTGTTATCCTAGGAGAGGACATATCAATGAAAATGAGTTTGTGTACTGATATGTTCTGTCTGAATATGTGCTGCTCTGCTAAGTACACCCTTTGCAAACACTGCAACAAAATAGTAGACATCTTTCTCCTGAATGTGGAAATCAATGACTTTTCTTGCAGCTTTGCACCTCTGACATCATCATGGCTAGGCCTTGCACAAGGACTACCTCTGACATGAGATTCAAAGCAATTTATGCACAGACTGTTCTGTCATGGACCAGTGCACTTAGCTTTCCTAAAGTGTGATTGTGATACACATCAGGGAAGACCATACTCCTCAAAAAGTCTGACTGCATGTTTCTAAACATATTATTTCTGCAATTTTAGGTGTGAGGGACATCCATGCTGACCATGCAGCCAGTCACATTGGGAAAGCACAAGGCATAGTTACCTGTTTAAGAGCAACTCCGTATCACAGTACAAAACAAAAGGTCTTTCTTCCCATGGACATTTGTATGTTGGTAAGAGAAGCAATTTGTCTGGAATTGAACAGTATGTTCCTAACTGTGTTTTTCAGTGTGTACAAGATCATGATTTATTCTGCCAGAAAGAAACAGGAGTTTTTTTCTTTATTTTAACTCTTTCTGCTGTGGCCTAATAATATGCCATTGTCACGGTTTTGTATCTTTTGGGAGGTGAGAGGAGTGACCTTCAGGAAACTCTAGGGTTTCTTCTTGGTTTTTTGTTTGGTTGGTTTGGGGCTTTGTGTGTTTGTTTTTGAGGGGGGAGTGTTATTTGTGTTGTTTTTATTAAATTAATATTTTAATTTTCAGGAATTTTTCCATTAATGTATAAAAATGCAACTATGTAATGGGGCCTCGGTTTGGGGGTTGGGTGTGAGGTTTTGGTGTTTTTTTTTTTTTTTTTTTTTTTTTTTTTTTTTTTTTTTTTTTGGTGTGTTTTTTTTTTTTTTTTTTTTTTTTTTTTTTTTTGTTTTTTTTCATATTTTCCTTTGACCATAAAGGAAACACTGTGAGAAATTTTATTTCTGAACAATCTTCTTGCATTTCTCTTTATTACCTTTTTATATATGTACTGGTGGTTTGTTTTTTTTTTTTGTTCCATATTTGACAGCTATAGGGATACATTCCTTACATTGCTCTAGGAGATGATACGGTCCTTCAATTTAAACTGTACCCCTAATTTGCATTGGAATTTAACAGATCTTGCAACTTAAGTAGGGTGGGATTAGAGCTCAAAATTTTTCATTGATGTTTTGTGGCTTGATCTGCAGCATCTCAACTGTAATTCCTTCATTTCCAATCTTTATTTCTAAATGTTAATGCTATCCTTTTTCTCCTTAACCAAAATGTTTGCAGTTATGGTGATGCCTAAGGCAGTTGTGTTAGTACTTTCTGAATATAATTTCAATACAAGTAAAAGTGTTGATTTGAAGTTTAGTAATGTATGTAGTTGCAACAAATGTAGATGCAAATGTAGGTCAGGGTTATAAGACTGCAGAAAGGAGCTGCACCCTGCTTTCAGCTCTTCTGGGACTGCATGTTATGGAGGCCTTCCAGATTTTCAGCTTTTCAAACACAACCTGAAAATTCAGTCATTCCTTGCCATGGAAGGTGTTTTGCAGTGACACTAAAAAAAGCTTGCCTCCCTTCTGTGCAGACTGAGCATCTTGTAAGCATTTCAGCTGCTGGCAAGTATTGCCAAGTTCTCCTGGAGTCTCTCTGCCTCCTGTGAAGCCCACCAGCCTTCCTTCCTACAGCTTTCACATGCCCCACTGGTGTTGAGAGGAACAGGCAGCTGGTGCTATTCTGAAAAAATTCCCCAGACTTTAAAATCTGACTTGGTTGTCTTACCACAAAGATTTAGGGAGCAAATTCATGCAGAAAGAATCTACCGACTGTTCTCTCTGATTTCTTGAATTTTTTTTCGAAGTGATTGATCAAAAAAAAGGAATTTAAAAAGGAGGGAGCAGTAATAAAACATTTAGGCTGTTTTAGTATTATGTCCTTAGTTTGGTTGCTGGAACATATTTTTGAGAAGTTTAAATGGAAAATTGATATTTATGGTGGGTTTTTTCTCTTTTTGATTTTGTTTTTCCTTCCTGTGTCTAGCATGGAGTTTCACAAGAGGATTTCATAAGGGGCAAGCAAGAGAAAAATGTGAGAGATGTAATTTATGACATTGCCAGCCAGGCCCATATTCATCTAGAACATGTGAGACTCCTTTCCTTTTATTTATTTAAATAAGTATAACTGATGCTAGTCTTCATATAGCATTTATTGTTAGAAGACTTAAAACTACATACTTAATTTCAAATATTTTCCCTTTAATTACTTTGGGAGTTTAAATTTAAAAACTCCCAACCTTTAAATATTACTACTTCTTTATGAATATTATACTGATCTTTATGCACAGGAACCAGTTTACTCACAGCCAGGTCCAATTTCTTATATATAAATGCTGCCTAAGAGACTTAGTACTGGAAGGGAACCTTCAAACCGACTTTTATAAATGCAGTTCTGTGCCAGCATGGGATCAGCACCATAGAAAGCACCTCTGGATATGGTATTTCACAGCACAGTGGAGTGGCTGCCAGGAAAACAGAGCATGTTGCCTTGAACTGCTGGTTAGTGTATGTGGGAGGGGGGATTCATTCCCTAACATGCCCAGCCATGCCCAGCACTGTGTTGGGAAAGGTGCTTTCTGTTTATAAGTTCTCTGGCATACAGCCAAGTGAATTGTGAAAGACTTTATTTGCTTGGAACAGTGGATTATGAGCCCTGAAGAACTGCGGAGTTGTACTCTATTTTTATTTCATGCTTTTATTTTAGCTACACTCTGAATTGCTTGTTGGTGCATAGTACATGAAAGAATGTTTCATCAGCAGTGCTTTGTCTGCCTCCATCTGGAAAACAAAACTTGCAAGAAGCACTGTAAAGAGCTGCTTATGTCTTCAAGTACATATCTGTGTATTCTTTGAGTATTGCACTCAGTGCTTCCAGTCAAGGTAGTCTGGAAAGATACCACTTCAGAGTAAAGAAATGCCAGATTTATCTCTGCATATGCACCACTAATATAATCCTTAATTACAGCATTACCTGTGATCACAGGATTTTATGCAGTAGAAATAGGAGAGCCCTTTTCTGAAGATAAAATGAGGGATCCCTGGTTTGTTCAGTCAGGGGTTAGTTAGTTGATTAATGTTTTTATATTATGTTAATAATATGTATATAACAGCTCTCCAGTACCTACAGGGGCCCTACAAGAAAGCCAGAGAGGGACTTTACAGAGGCAGGTAGGACAAGGGGGAATGGCTTTAAACTGAAAGAGGGCAGGTTTAGATTAGATACTAGGAAGAAATTCTTTAATGTGAGGGTGGTGAGGCACTGGCACATGCTGCCCAGAGAAACTGTGGAAGCCTCATCCCTGGAAGTGCTCAAGGCCAGGCTGGATGAGGATTTGAGCAACCTGGTCTAGTGGAAGGTGTCCTTGCCCATGGCAGTGGGGGTTGGAACCAGATCATCCCTTCCAACCCAAACCATTCTATGATTCTATATACCCTTGAGTTTTGTTTTTTATAGACTAATTCTAATTTGCATTTAAGGCATTCCTGTTCACATTGTTTCTCCTGATGTCTCAGTTTTTGTGGTCACATGCCCAAGGAAGCATTTAGAAGTAGAGAACAGAGACAAAGAAAATGCAACACCAGAACTGTCCACTACCTTTGTTCGAGCTGAAATATTTTGATTTTTCTTGTTTCATTCTCCACCCGTCATCCCATAATGCACAGTGTTTAAAACCCATTGACTTTGGTTGCAGTTGTGGCTAACAAAAATGCCAAGTGCCTGGCCTGAAATGCCTCATATCAGGGATGGGAGGCATGGAAAATGAGTCAAGTGTATTTATGGTCTACATCTTTAAAATTTGATTCCTGGTATTGTATGGATACTTTGGGACAGTAGCAGGAAGAGAATTCAGTTCTTCAGAACTTTTCAGATAATTTGATAATTCATAGTGCCTTGGTCCCCTCGCTTCCAGAATGCCTAGCAGCTTCTGAAGAGAACAGGCCTCCTTTCTTCCCTCTGCATTCCTAGAGCCCTGCCCATGTTATACACTGGGAGGGTCCTGAGGAAAATATGCAGTGTGATCATGTAATTGGAGACTACAGAAAAGTATAAACAGGAGGAAAACAGATTAGGGCAGCATTAGCATTTTATTCAACTGAATGTTGGTCTTGGCACCCTCTCCCCTTTTTCTTTTAATGGATGGTTTATATCACCTTAATTAAAATTTAAAAATTCCTCTCTGAATACTTGCTCCATCATCATCAGTGAAGAATAATTGACAGTGCAGGATCTTTATAGAGTGCTGAAACCGCTTGAACTGGCTATAACTGGCAGCACTAACAGGGTATTGGCCTCCTTAATAATCAGATGATCTTTGTTAATGCAAGGACAAAGGTACTTTCTCCCCTAATGGCTGAAATGGGCTTTTGCTGGCAAGGTTTGCTGGGTATTTTAAGACTTAAGGTGAATGTAGTGGGCTGGTGCCTTTAAATGCATCTGTTCTCCTGTATAAAATCACCATCTTGTTTTGCCTGAGGGTCTTTTCAGCCAATTATCCTTTGTTTTAGTTGGAATTACAGGGTAGGGTAAAGTTTAAACCTGAAGATAGGTTTCAACAATCTCGGCATTTGTTACACAAACCACATATTTTAGAGGATGAGGGTAGCAATTACCAGCCCCATTTCACAGCCAGAAAACATGTAATCCTAAAATGCAGAATTGAGTCTCAGCAATGTTATAGGAAGCATACTGTTGTAATGTGGCCCTTAATCCTGACAGAAAAATTTCCGGAGTGTGGTCAGGTCTTCCTGATACTGGGACTGATGACCAGCAGAGGGCAAAATAAGATAATGAAGATTGCAGTTTTTCTTAGGAATTCTGTGTTTCATTAGAATAAAAACATATAATAAATGTTCTGTCCCTTCCACAGTCCCTCTTTGAAGGCCCGTGAATACATTTACGTATTCCCCCCCTTCCTCTTAAGCACCCTTTGTTAAAAGAGGGTGTCCTTTTGGCTTTTGGCATTTATCTCAGTTATGACACATTATTATGGGCTCAATTTACCAAGGAAGGTAACGTGCTTTCTGAATGGTGTGCAACCCATTCTGGGTTAAGAAGGTCAAGCAAGACTACTTTTTTTTTATCTCACAATTAATAATAGTAAGGCAGAACATTAGATCAGGGAAGAACATTTTTCTTATTTAGAGATAAATATACATGTTATTACATCTCAAAGTTTTAAAATAGTTTGCCTTCTAAAAGATTGAATATTTTTTACTTCCAAAGTTTCAGGTTGATTTTTCTGAGTTGTTTAGAAAAATCTGTGAAAAACTATCAGAAACTCATACATTCTTCTCAGTATTTATAAAGGGTTGGTTTGTTTTAACCTGTATGAAAAGGCAAAACAAGGAGGGATTTTGTGTTTATAAATAAACATTACAGGAAGACTTGCTTCAGCTCTCTTAGAGGGACCTGAGCTGAACATGAGTTTAAATTGTAGATTTGATTCAGCTATGCTTCAGATATGATACATAAATACTGAGGAACTGAAATAATTTTGAAGTCTCAGAAATGCAGTGGGAGCACTTACAATTGGACTTCTGGGGTTGATGGCAACATCGGACCAAAAAGATGCACTGAGAGAAATGCTTTTCTGGTCTTCTGTAATTTCTGTCTGTTGGCAGGTAGAGAGTGATTTGGGTTGTGGGGTGGGGAAAGGTTAAATTGTTTATTAAACCAGATGCAACTTGGGACCTGGTTGGAACAAGGGATGCTAATTTACATTGATTTCTAATATGTAATCTTTTAGTCTGTCAAACCTCATAAATATTTTAGCAGGCTTCTCCCAGTATTATATACTTACTGTGTAACTGCTTTTGTATACAGTGAGGGATGGTGCTGGCTTGCACATAATGAAAAGTTACAGGTTCAGGATGTCAAAATAAAAAGGATGAAGCTCATAAAACAGTTTGTTGCCTCTAACCATTCTACATAGTACTTGATGTTTAATCTGAAATGTTAAATTCTTCTGATAAGTACGTTTGTTTTTTGTTTTGTTTTTCCCCCCACCTTACCCCCTTTACTTTTAGGCTAGATCTTTCAGTAAGAAAGTTCCCGCGAAGGCGTATCCTGCTTTTTTCTGTACGGTGGGTGTGATATCATGCACTCTTTCAGTGATGGACTCATTCCTCTGCTGATGTTTGTGAAGAGTATCAAATATGAAGCATGCTTAACTACTGCTTCATGTGTCTGTTTTGGGAGGATGTAATACCTAAAACTCACAAAGATCAATCATAATGTGTGCCTGACTGTGGAACCTTATAATTTTGATCAACGCTTTTAATCCTTCTCCTTTAACTACATCATTTCACCCAAGATGTCTGTATAATCATAGACTGCTGTTCTGATGCAAGAGCCCAAAATCTTGTCTATTTTTATAATTTGCTTTTTGGTCTAGTAAAAGATAATGCTTCTCTTCACAAAACTTGACTTTTTTATACGCTTGGAATGTGATGGTTACGCTACCACTTTATAACACAGACAAACTGTCAAGCCTTTTTGCAGTTTCTCATTTGGCTTCATGTATTTTTTTTAAACTTATGCCCAATTATTTGTGTGCACCATATGGATTAAGCTTTTTTTCTCCTTTTCTAGGTTGCTTTAGATGATTTTTTACATAACATGCGAAAAGTGGACTTCAATATATTTCATCCAAGCTTGCAAAAGAAGAGTACGTTATTACCGTTGCATTTGTATATTAGATCTTGGAAAAAGACATATTAAAGTTTGGGGTTTTTTTTAATATGGGTTCAGAGTGCTGAGTTTTTTTCTTTGATGTCTCAACTTGATGGAATTGTGAAGTGTCTAACTTCACACTTCTGCAAAGTGCAGTTCTGGGAAACAGCAGATGCACATGTAGCTGTCAGCTTGCTGGCAGTAGTTAAGTTTGTTCTTGGAATTTGAGGCTGATATCTCTGTTTCTCGTCTGCCAAGTCATATGTCCTTGTCTGAGATTACTTTTCTTGCCTTTCCTGTAATAACAGCAATATGACAGAATTTTTTTTGGACAAATTCTGTGCTAATGGATACTTCTTACAGTTGTCACTCTTCACTAAAAAAAGGCAAAAAAACCCACCCCAAAACCAAACCAAAAACCAAGCCAAGAAACAAAAACTGCTTTCTTTATGCCCAGAAGCAGCTACAGTAAATGCCCTATAAATCAGCTAAGTAGTTCTATTCAGTGCAAGGAACAGGCTTCTTCCAAGTAGTGATGATGCTTCATGCTTGGAAGAATGAGCATGTATATTTGAATGCAAGAAAACTGTCAGGAAAAGCTTTAGCTGTTTTAATTATGTAGTATTTATGTAGCATTTCAGAATGGTGAAATATAGCTGTAGTGTAGAGCTTAACTGTGTGTTGAGATTGAGCATTGATGTGACTGTAGGTGGTGGGAGGATAGCTTTACAACATCGGAAGAGAACCCTATACAGTTTTTATCTCTGGCTTTTTCACTCTGCTCTGGGCTTGGCTGTGTCTTCCTCTTGGCCTTTAGTCTCTCTGTTGTTGCCCACAGCTGTCATTGCAACATGGGTTCAACATCCCCTTTGCTCAATATTGACCATGTCTCTCAGGACACCCTCCTACGTGGCTTCCCCGAATTCCTTTTCTTTGGTACTGCGAAGAAACATATTCCTGAGTGCTTCAGGTCATTTTACAACGCCCTTTCTGTAAAGATACTGCTCTGTTTTTTTAATGGGAAGCTACTGGGAGCTTTGTACTCAGCATCTCTTAGGATCAAGGTAAATATTTCTGTTTGATTTGTTTTATGGTAAAATAATGCTTCCTAACATCCAGCTTGATTCAATTGCACAAATCCGGTAGTTTGTTTTGCCGTCATCCCTGTTCTATTAAATAACTGCTTTTCCCAGAGATTTTTTTTTTAATCAGGGTTAATCTCCCCAGATGCTTGGCTGTTTAACAACATCCTGTATTTCAGTGCACAATGCTACATAATGAATTTCTGAGAACAGGATTTGTGGCTTTTTTAATCACAAACTGTCAGCATGGTAGAAATCTTTGTTGGTTTTGTTTTACATGTTTGGAGTTGGTTTGTGATACAGATCTTGGTTAATTTTGCAGTTTCTTATTCCCAAGAAAGACATTTCCTTTTGAATTTGTTCAGCTCAGGATCCTGGATTCTGTATTACTGGAGGTGCAGTAATTGAGGTGATATGAATCTAGAAGAATCTGTATGTACTGGACTGGGAGTATAATGGCTATTTTCTTAACATGAAATCCTAACAGTCTCTGTCCTCTTTTCAAGTCAGCTGCTGTATCTTATTGGTGTTCCTGAAAGTGGCAAAGAGGTCTGGTGAAAAGAAAATGTTTCATTCCTATGCAGGCACTGCAGCTCTTCCTGCCAAACGAAGAGCAAAGGCTCGGGCTCTGTAGCTGCCACCAGGCCAGCTGCGCACTCGCTCTGTGTATTTTGTGTTCTGGAGCAAGCATTACAAATGTCTCTTTCTGCAGTTGGTCCTTGTTTTGTTCCAAACGTGCTGAGTCAGGATAATTGAGGCAGCCCTGTCTGTCTTCTCAAAAGGAATCACTCTCCTGTAAAGTTAACTTTTGGCAGGAGTGCAGTACAGTAAAGTGGAAGAGAAGGGAAAGCATGCAGTATCACCAGCACTTCGAGTTGCTACAGTGATATCTTGCTTCTAGGCCACAAGGCCAGTGCTTTCCTGTGGTGTTGAAGTGGAACAAATCTTGACAATGTACTCACAAAGGCATCAATGGATGGGCTGATTTGTTTTTGTGTACAAAGAAGCCATGTGATGCAGTGAATGGTTAGCATGGTAAGGAGGACTTATCAGTGAATTAGTAAACAGGATATGGAATAAATAAATTCAAGTTGTGACTTCAGTCACAAAAAGAGTTTTGAGTGACCTCAGAAAATAAAGCAGCACTTCGAATTGCAAATCACAGGAGGTTGCTTAAATAGGCAATCTGTGTCTCCTTTATATCCTTTAGGGAACAGCTCTCCCTCAGATGGCCATGTCTGATTCTTCCTTTAGGGACAGTGTTGTGAATGGTGGCATTAAATACCTGTCAAACAAGGTAGTCTTCCATTAGTATTATCTCCTTTTATTTCTTGATGGAAGTGGGTGCCATATAAGAAATGTCCTATTTCTCTTCTTTTTTGTAATCTGGCTTATAGTTGTTTTCACCAAGTGTTGCTGGCTGAGCATTCCGTTATGCCTGGTTTCGGTTGATGTACTGAAAGAAGTTTGTTTCTTCTGTTTTTTTTCCTATAGCTGCTACCATTACTGAGACATATTAAAAATAATTTATGTATTTGGGAGCTGTACGTCATTCATGTACATCAAGTCAAATATCACAGACAACCAGGGGCTGCAATTTCTTTCGTCATTGCTTAACAAGAAAAAAAGACAAATTAGGAGTCAGCATGAATACAGCTTGAGAACCCTGTTTACTTCTTCATCAAAAGAATCAAGAATCTGTACATACAGTTGTTGGTAATATTTAGTCAATACATGTGCAGGGTACTGCCATCACAACATCTTTCTAGACCACTAGCTTCAAACGTGTCTTTAGGCACCCAAAATAGAGAGTAGGCTAGAGGGACTGCAGGAATCTGTGTCAGAGGACTTTGGATCCCTATCAATGGTACTTTCAACAATGAGGAAGAAGACAGTTCCTGAAGAGCCACAATTGAAAGCTGTAAGTGTTCTTTTCTGCACTCTGAATAAGTACTTGGTAAAGTCTCTCCTTATAGTAGAGCAGCTCCTGACCGGCTCACACAGTCATGCTGAATAGGAGATATTTTTTGGTTTAAGCTAAAGGTAGAATTACCACAGAAATCGCGTCTAGTCACAAAAGCTCACAAGCCCTGAGATAACAAACAAATCCATTTTCATGCTAAAACACATTATGCTAGATTAGAGAAGGGTGCATTTTCAGGAATGGTCTTCCTGAATCAAATAATCTTCATTGCTGCACAGTCAGGACAGAGCATCCATTCTAGCTCTTTCTCAGGTGTGGAAGAAGAGATGGAGATGAACAGGGCCAAAGAGAAGGGGCTTCTGCTGTATTTTTTTTTTTAAGGCAGACTAGGAGACAAAGAATTTTATCTATTCTCAGGACAAGCAGCTGGAAAGACAAAACTTATTCAAAGATCTGAATATAGAGCCTATCCAAATCAACACAATATACGGAACTGGAACCATGGGTGCTTGGGGAGACGCCTGCCAAGTTCTGACAATTCAGAAATCCTCACAGGTCTGCTCTCCCAAACAAAACACTTTGTGGATAAGACAGCAATAACAACAAAATTAATAAAGAGGATAATTTGGATGTACAAAATCTTGAGAAAAGATAGTAGCGTCCCAGAAGGACACTTACAAAACTTCTGACAAATCAGCAGGGGTGCTTACAACCCACTGGAGCCAAACAAGAACAAACTTCCAGTGCAGAATCTGAGACTGGGCTAACTTAGGAATCACCAGTTCATTTTTCAATGATACAATGAGTATTCTTTTTTTCACAAAAGGCAATATTTCAGAGTAAAGCATTTAATTCCCCCTTAAAAAGCTTTAAGTTACTGGATTTGGTCTCCTTTTGTGGGTGACTCAGGAGTGGAAATACTCCAAAGCTGGGAAGGTATTTTGCATTTCTGCATCTGTCAGCTAGAAAAGCCAATCCACTGCTGCTTCAAAAAGGTTTTCAATGAATAAAGAAACAAAACACAGATTTTCCTTTTATTGTTTGTAATACTTTTTAAAGTTACTGAAAGCAAAGAATGTAAAGTCCTATTTCAATATGCCATGACTGAGTTTTGCTGACCTAGAATATATAAAGTTAAGATTAAAACTCTAACAGAGCTCACTTAGTTGTGTAAGAAGTGGAGAGATTTTATTTTAGCCCAAGGAGAACATATGCTGCAAGGTTCTAGCTGCAAATCCCATCAATTGTAAAACTGATACTTGAACACGTAAAAAGGAGAGCTGGTGGGAGAGAGAACTGGACTTCCATGGAACAGACTACAGTTGACTACCAGTAGGTAATTCCTTCCTGCTTACAAACTAACCAAGTTCACTTGTACAGAGAACTCAAAAAAATCACCAACACCAGCTTTTAAAGCCAGGACACTTTTAAAGGATAGTCTTGCCACACAGTAAATCTCTGAGCCTACATATATGCTGGATTCTATCCATTTTTCAAAACTACTTTTTAGTGCTGCTAAAAAACCCCACCAATACTGCTGACAATTTTTGAACGTTTTTTATGTTAAAGAAAGCTGCAACCTCGGTAAGGTTCCATCAGAAATTATATGCCAGGACAAAGGAAAAGTTCACAGCAATTTTTAAATTGCTTGAGAGAAACCTGTAAGCCAAGAGAGTTGTGGACAGCCCATTACTGGAAGCTTTCATAAATAATGCAAATGTCTCAGTGACACAATGAAGTAAAAATACTGAACCATCTGCTTGCATTGTCTCAACACCAGACAGACTTGCTCCGATTTTCATGTGATCCTTGGGAAGATCTGAAGTGAAAACACAAGCCCTGAAACAGCTCTTCGGAAACAGTGTCCATTCAAAAATCGTAAGGCAATTCAGAAAGCATAATATACGACATGTATTGTATTGCAGTGTATCATTGCCATATCATGCCTTCTGAAGAATATATTTCCTCCACCCTTAAAGTGTAGCTGTGGCAAAACCATAACAGTAAAGTTATAGTTAGAGAGCAAAAATAAATGTTATTTTAGACTACTAGCTATGGTTC